GGGGGAGTTGGAGGAGGGCATAGGGTGATAAATGGTGATGAATGGAGACTTGACTTGGGGTGGTGAACTCACAATACAGTGTACACACGATGTGTGTGGAGCTGTGCACCTGAAACCTGTATAATTTGGTTAACCAATGTCACCCCAGTAAATTCAATACAATGAAAAAGGAAAGGAAAAATCTGCACGGGGATGAGAAGAGTATCCCTGTTCACGTGCATTCTGACACAGCCTACTCAGGATCAGGTTCTCATTCTGTCAGAGCAGTTGTTAAATGGCATGACACTTAATAAGAAATGCCTGCAGGTGAGGGACTAGAGGAGAGAAAACTGGAACACTGGCGCGCTTTAATTAGAAGCCTTCAAGCTGTCAAAGCCCTTGTGTGTCATAACTACCAAGAAGACGGAGACAGAGGTGACATCAGAAGCACCAGCCAGGCTATATAGCTATATGTTTATATCTGTATATTCACATTATATATAATATATAGAGTAATGCATATTTATAATGACCTAGTGTTACATAGTATTATAATGTTCTATATGTGTAATGTTATGAATTAAGCACAGGAAGAAATAAACATATATACTAAGAAGATAAATATAAGAAGCTGCCAATTTCAGAAGACAGAGCACAAGGAAAGAAGAGGAGCCCAACAGGAAAGGTTTAAAAAGTGAAACACACACTCCCCAGCTGCTGGCACTGATGACTGGGCATCAGCTGGAGTAATGGTTCCATGTGGGGTTTTACACTACATTTCTACTTCTTGTGGGTGCCAAGGACGCACTGCAGCACCAGGGGCTACTGGGCGCCCATGCAGCCACCCCGGCAGCAGCCTCTCACCCCGGGGGGTAGCTCGGCTCAGTAATTCACACCTTGAGGCCTTTGAGATTCTGCTCTGGGACCAGGGAGAATTGTGCGTTCACACCCCGTGGCCAGACTGGTTTATTTCATTTTATTTAAGCTAAGAATGTTGAACAGAGTGAAATTACAAATAAAAAAAAATTCAGGACTCTCAAAAAAAACAGGAAAGTTTTCCTAGAAACATAGAGCTGTTTTTCTAGATAAAACACCTGTATTTTTAAATATGTTCCTCTAGTGATTGGATCCCCTTTGTTATTTTTAAATGTCCCTTTAAAAAACAGGGTGTGTGGGTGTGTGTGTCTGTGTGTGTGTGTGTGTGTACACTTTCAGGTAACTACAATTACCTGCCGTTTTCTCTATTAATTCATCTCTTTCTCTCCTTTCTATAGACATATTCCCTCCAGAAAA